TTTGATTCAGGTGTGTTGACCCAGGGTGAGATCTAAAATCTGCAGGACACCGGCCCTCGAGGCCTGGAGTTGCCCACCCCTGCTCTAACCGGTCAGCATAACAGAAGGGAGAAAACTGTTGTGGGAAATGAAACATGAACTCAATGTAATGGAGTCTAAACTCAGCTTAAAAGTCAAAATCTCATTCAAACAAACACATTGATGGTAGACATACGTACACACTGATCACACCTGGTTGCAGGTCAAGGCTTTCATCAAACCAAAGACCTTCGGATTATTTGGCAATGTGCTCTCTCTCGATCCACAAAAGAGATCTTTCAGGCCCTTCAGCAGAACTATATGCTTTGTAAACTTCTTACATTCATAATAAAAAACTAAATAATACATTTGACGATAAGGAAAAGTCCCCAAAATCCTGATATGGGAATTGTTTATTGGTGTGAGGAAATTCGGTGATGGAAAAGAGTTTGACAGACTCATTCAGTGGCCGCTGAACTTCACGTGACCTTCACGTGCTCAGGCTGATTCTAATTCATGCAAACACCTGAGAACTGATATAACTGTTAGGAAACACTCGTCACTGAGGTACAGTAACAGTGTGTTTGTCTCGTGTCATTTTATATGATTATAAATTAAATTTGAGTTGATTTTTTTGGGCCATAATAGATGAAAATAATCAGCAGATAATCTGATAATGAGGGAAAAATTGAGATCTGTCTTTATTTTTTGGTTCTGTATGTCAGTCGGTGTTTATACAGAATTTAGAGGGTTGTTTTCTAAAATTAAAAATGTAAACGAAACATAATCCCAGCCAGTCTATCAGGGACTATTTATAGTCCGTATGGAAATGTCTGGGCTGAGCAGTTTTGTTTCTTTGTAGAGGCGACAACTTAATCCAAACCAAGTCCACAAACCCCGACCCTAAGTTGTGAGGGATTATAGGTGTGAGGAGACAGATGTTGACACCTGACAGCCGGCAGTTGTCTTTTCTTGGAAAGCCGAGTAAAACAAAACGAGCTGAGGGCAGACTGCAGTCTTTACTGACAGGCGCATTCAGCGCTCTTCATGCGTTATTAACGAGAATGGGTGCAAACAAACGCCTTCACGCTGTGCTAAAGTTACAGGACTTTAAAACAGTTTTATCACCGCCCGCAATTCTTCAAAGACCTGCAGGCGTGATTGCACACTGTCTTCCTGTCCCGCGCCGTAGCAGGCAATTAAAAAGCATCTCTCCTGCTGTTGAATAGGCACTCTTAGAGGGCATTCGACTTCCTCCTGGGCTGAAATTGACGTGACGGTGGCAGCAGCGGTAAAGCAGGCTTGGAATAAGGCCATGGATATCGTATCAGCCTGACCTGCAGCCACTGACAGGAATGTTGATGGAGGCAGGTTTATCTGCGCCTCTATGGAAAGGTGCTACTATAACCTTCACATTGACGATTTGAAAGTTGATTAGGAGACGACTTTGGCTAAAGTCACAAAGGCAGAGAGAGAGGGAGGCGAACGGGAGTGCCATCCTCGCATCAGCGTCTCGTCCCGGCGTTTCGTATTTTTGATATGATTTGCGTTTGTCCACGGCTCTGCAAACACAACGCTTGTTTCTTCAACGCAAGCCGCCCTTCCCCTGACATATGGAGGGCCGTGGACATGAATACTGATTTATCTGTCGTAACACAGACCTCTGTCTTTAATGAGAGCCAAACATGGGCACATCCATTTTTAATACTGGAGTGACTTTTACTTAAATGTCATACTTGTGCATGCAGAGCTCTGGCAAAATGAAAACCAGCAGGG